TAAAGGGTCCCAGCCATAGTACTAGCCATCAAACATCTTTTTAGCTTTGCCTGTTTTCTTTAGCAAAGAAACCAAACACAACTCACCCACTCTCCTCCAGCAGCTGCTTGTTTGTGGGGGGAGCCCTGACGGGTTGATCACCGAGTGCAGCAGAGTTTCGCAGCTCAAGGAAGAACATTTAAGATCATTACTACATGGAAATGCAATCAGATCAAGGTGGTAAGGCAGAAGAACTACCGTGTCTGCAGTGCAAAACGATTATTCTGACAATTATTACTTCATGGAAATGATCCGCTGAACTCTGTGACTTTAAAGCTATCCAAACAAAAATCCTTGCCAGTTGTGCATAGACCTACAACAGACTACTTGCTTACATCGTAAAACATAGATGATTGTGTTACTGTACTTAAAGATTACTTTTCATTGGGTCCCTAAAAATTAAGAATGCTGTACTGCAATGGGCTGTGAAAATTATGGCATTCTTTTATGCTTCACTAAAAGTATTCAGAGTCAAGGAAGTAGGGGTCGAACAAAGCAACAGGACCACCAAACTAGAAGATGTATGCTCAAGTTGTAATTTCAGAAATTATGATAACTTTATTGTAGAATAATGACTGAGATGGTTGAGAATGGGGTGTACCTTGAGACTGACTGCATCACAGCAGAAGGCTGTCCCCTTTTCTCAAATTGAGCTGACAAATGCACTCTGCTTTTCCTGGTTTGTGAAGAGTATACTGCATGTATCCTTCATGGCCCAGCTTTCCCATGATCCTCTGCACAACAATTTAAATAAACTGGCTAACTGTCAGTTTGCAGTGTCAAACACTCTTTAATACCAGCACTGGTTTCAGCTCATTAAACTACCAAGTAAAACAAAAATTAAATTAGAGCTAAAAGCAGCACTCAATGGGCCCCTTGAAACTTAGTATGGTACAAATCAGGAAAGTGATGGTGATTGTGATTGTGGTTTCTATTTTCATGTACGCCGGTGAGGCGGCAGAGGGTGGCGGACCCCACGCAGTTGTATTTCCGTCTGGCGGAGCCCGGCGTACAGCCAGTTTGGTATTTTCGTGGACTGAGGCACACTGAGATCCGCCAAGCTGGGCATGGTGGCGTGGCAGGGGGATGTGTCGACAGAATCAGCGGGCGCAGTGACATTTTCGTGCTCGCCACCGTCGTATAAAGTGCGCTGAAAGCTCGCCAATTCAAACCCAGTCAGCTTTCAGCGCAGGCGGAGTGCAGCTGGTCTAGTGGTATTTTGGTAGACCGGCAGTGTATCAGCATATGTCACCGATGCCTCACAGGCAGGTTTCCACAGTGTCAGGCACATTTCAGTGCAATAAATAATCATCAACAACTAATAATCTGAGTCAGCACATACATTTAGATCTATATAGATATATTCTGATCTATATCTGATCTGATGAGTGCATTGGGCATGCGTTTCGACACACATGCTTTAACCGCATTAAATTAAATATCTAGTAAATAGACACACACAATGAAGTTATCAAGATATGTAATTCATCTCCCGCCTTTTCTTTCTTCCTCTTCCTCTTATTTCTCGCACAGCTCGACCTGGACATGTCTCCATGTCCTCTCCCCGTCCTGCTGCGGCGGCGGCTGAACAGATGATTTGTTTCAGTGCTCAGATGAGTTATTTACTTTAAGCCTATATACGAATATTATAATATTCAGTTTTGTGGGCCAAATTTATTTTATACGCCAACATCTATGAAAGAAAGAGCCAGGCCACAGAGCGCGATGCGTCATTTACGCACAGATGGTTCCGATTTTAATGCCATTTTTGGAGTTTATGTTGTGATCTGTGCGCACAACCCACCTTTGTCACGTGAGGCTTGAATATATACAACTTTTTGTGAGTGTCTTTATTTGTGGAAAAGGGTGTTTGTCTTACCACTGGGTCCAACATTACACACACCTAATCCATCTGTGCTTATATGACAGAGTGTGGAGGACGCCCAATGCAGCGCTTACAGTGACACTTGTTGAGGAGCTGCCTTCTGTCGCCACCGTGTGGCATTACTGTCTTCAGACATCTCTTGATCTCTTTGACTACTTCACGAAAATAGTAATACGCCTCGCCGGTGGCGGATTTAAAGGCGAGGAGAGGAGCTTATGTGATTGGTCAATACAGGTCTCTGCTGTGTTAAACCCACTCCACACCCTCTCTTCTCCCTTGTTACGACTTAAGCTGCTGGAAGGAGCTGAGTTAGGGAGGGGGGATACTTACGCCGGGCTGCACCGCTCACCAAAATACCAAATTGTGCTTGGGAACGCCCCGTTGGCACGACGGACCTGACTTATGCCACGCCTGCGGCACGTCTCCGGCGAGGCACCAAAATAGAGCCCCCAGTCTTTAAGGTGTTATACTTTCAACATGTGTATTGGAGTTCACAGTAAGTGCAGCAATCAGGGATAGGGAAGAGTTGGCTGAGACTTGCTCACGTTTTTAAGTCTACATGGCATATTCTAATATCAGGAACAAAGTCAGTGATATCTCTTTACAGAATATGATCCCTGCATGTCAAAAATATTGATTGACTTTTCATGTAACCTTCATTCTATCACACGCTTTTAACCACAGCTCCCACCTTCCTCCCTAACTGCCCATGTTGACCTTATTATAAATTTTTTGACCTTTTCACTGCCGGGCTTCTCTGATTGCGGACGAGGGCACATTACAGATGGGAAACCAGTTGAACAGAATGGCTGACAAGGGCTCAGATGGACAGTTCAGTGGGTGGTACAGCGCTGAGGGTGGGGCTCAGGGTGGAAAGACTCCTGAATGTCAGAGATTAGAGGCAGCAGTGAGGAAGAAAGACGGTGTGAAACACAGAAGATTCACGGCACCCTGGCTGACTGTCCACTGTCCAGATGACCCCTCTCACTTTCTCTCAGCGGAAGGATGTGCCTGCCAGCGACTCAGTCCATCATGTTGACTCCAGCAGCTGAGCAACATCTGTTCATTAGACTTGACAGATGAAAGAGGAGCCAATGAAGAAGGGGTGAGGAGGATGAAAGCAGTTCCAACATAATATATCTCCCGTATGATTATGGATGGCTTGTGTAAAAAAGAAGCCCGAGTTGGCTGTTGTGTTCCAAGTCTCTTGTACATGTGATCAACACACCAGGCTGCAAATACAGGTAGCAAGGGAGGGAGCTGTGAGTGTTAATCGAGGCATTTGCTTCATCTGTCACGCTTCTTTTGGCCCTATTGTGCTGTGCTGAAGGTCTTTCTCTCCATTACATTGTTTTCTTGCTTTTTTTCTCAACCTTTCAAATGTCACAGGGAAATGAGCACAAAGCATTGACATGGATGAGAACCGATAAATAATGCAGCGTACATTACCCCCCTTTCCCTCCACATATACACCTTTTTTTCACCTGCTTCATGTGTTTGGGGACAAAGTGATGGAGGGCAGGCACCCAAGGGACACAGGGGCCTGAAACCCTTCAGTGCACATTACATACACACCAGTCTTGTTCACATTTCTGTATAGACCTCATTTTAATTTTTAATGTTACACTGCATAGGGAACAACTAAAAATAGTACATATGACGAGACCTGAGACCAAAATATACTCATATAACCTTTAACATCCTGCACTACATGATCACATCTATACCCACAGGTGCTTGTAGGGGCATTTGGATGTAGGCAGCAACCATGGCCATGAATAGAAAGAGTTAGATTTTATCATTATGGAAAGCAAATGACAAATGAATGCGGGTGATGAAAAGAAAGGTCGGTGAGAGCAGGGCAGAGACAGAACAGAGAATTGAGTCATCCCTACAGTTCTCTCCTCTCCCTCACCCTTTGTCCTTATTTCTATCATAAAGTCAAAGCTGGAGACCAATGCCTTTTTTTTTTTTTTTTAATTTGTTCAGACGCTTTTTTTCTGTTCTTACAGAAGAGGAGAGTGGGGTAAGATGAGCAATTTTTCATATTTCATAGTTATGTCTCTAACTCGTGTATCTGCATATATTTCAAGATGTTGTGCATCCCTGCAAACCAACAGAATGAGTGTAAACATAACTGTCTTGATAATATAGCATGCCAAAGAAAGGGGTCTCCTATGCTCAGCTTACCCCGTGTATGGGGTAAGTTGACCATAGGAGCGGGGTAAGTTGAGCCGTATCCCTACTACCCCCCACTCTCCACCCCAGTCCTTCCTCACATTCTCTCTCTCTAAATAACAGTCACTTCTTCACATTCATGTGTATTTTTAACGATTATATGCGATTCAACTGGTACAATAATTATTTTTATTATTATTGTATATAACTGTTAAAAAGCTGTTTTGTAAAAAGCCATTTTAACACGAGAATGTCTTTAAGTGACATTCTCCACTGACTCAACTTACCCCAGAACTATTATCTTGGGCTCTATTTTCGTTCGCGCCGGTGAGGCGGCGGAGGGCGGCGAGCCCCGCGCAGTTGTATTTTCGTCTGGCGGAGCCCAGCATAAGGCCAATTTGGTATTTTCGTGGCATGAGCCGCACGGAGGCGAGCCGAGATCCGCCAAGCTGGGCGTGGTGGTGTGGCAGGGGGAGGTGTCGACAGAATCAGCTGGCGCAGTGACATTTTCGTGCTCGCCAACGGCGTGTAAAGTGCGCTGAAAGCTCGCCGATTCAAACCTGGTCAGCTTTCAGCGCAAGGCGGAACGCAGCTGGTCTAGTAGTATTTTGGTAGACCGGCGGCGTATCGACATACGTCACTGATGCCTCACCGGCAGGTTTCCACAGTGTCAGGCACATTTCAGTGCAATAAATAATCATCATCAACTATTAATCTGAGTCAGCACATACATTTAGATCTATATCGATATATTCTGATCTATATGTGATCTGATGAGCGCGTTTGGCACGTGTTTGGACACACAACCTGACCGAATCAACACAGCTGAAACCGCATAAAATTAAATTAAATATCTAGTAAATAAACACACATGATGAAGTTAACTAGATATGTAATTCGTCTCCCTCCTTTTCTTTCTTCCTCTTCCTCTTATTTCTCGCACAGCTCGACCTGGACACGCCTCCGTGTCCTCTGTCCGTCTTGCTGCTGCTGCAGCTGAACAGATGATTTGTTTCAGTGCTCAGATGCGTGATCTACTTTAAGCCGACATACGGATATTATAATATTCAGTTTTGTGAGCCAAATTTATTTTATATGCCAACATCTATGAAAGAAAGAGCCAGGCCACGGAGCGCGATGCGTCATTTACGCACAGATGGTTCCGATTTTAATGCCATTTTTGGAGTTTATGTTGTGATCTGTGCGCTCAACCCACCTTTGTTACGTGAGGTTTGAATATGAGCAACTTTATGTGAGTGTCTTTATTTGTGGAAAAGGGTGTTTGTCTTACCAGTGGGTCCAACATTACGCACACTAAATCCATCTGTGCTCATATGAGAGAGTGTGGAGGACACTTGTTGAGGAGCTGCCCTCTGTCGCCATCTTGTGGCATTACTGTCTTAAGACATCTCTTGATCTCTTTGACTACTTCATGAAAATAGTAATACGCCTCGCCTGTGGCGGATTTAAAGGCAAGGAGAGGAGCCTATGTGATTGGTGAAAACAGGTCTCGGCTGTGTTAAACCGACTTCACGCCCTTTCTCCTCCCCGTTACGACTTATGGTGCTGGGAGGAGCTGAGTTAGGGAGGGGGGATACTTACGCTGGGCTGCGCGGCTCACCAAAATACCAAAATGTGCTTGGGAACGCCTTGTCAGCGCGGCGGATCTGACTGACGCTGCACTTGCGGCACGTCTCCGGCGAGGCACCAAAATAGAGCCCTATGACTTTATTAGTCCTCTAAGCTAAAATGGTGGACTTTTATGCTAGGTTTTTGACCTCATTTTGCAGCTCATAGATACCAAAACTGATGTATTAAACAAATTTAAAATGATCTTTTTTGGTCTTAAAACAATTCTAATGAAACGTATGACAGACTAAATTCACTTTGAAGAGTGACAAATGTTTTTTTGTAAATAAATGTCTAACCCCTTCGCCCATGTGCTTCTAACCTTCACAGACTCAATGAATTGATGCCCATTACCTCAAAATTTGGTCACATGATCAATTTCTTTTACCATTTCCAAGCAACAGGGGGTGGCTCAACTTACCCTTTGGCTCAACTTACCCCACTCTCCCCTAATTGCCAACACATTTTTGTACAGTGATTTGTGACAGTGACTTTTCACATGTTCTTGGCATGTTGGGTGGGTTTTAAAGAAAACAATCATGATTTAAATCAATTAAATACCGTGAAATGATATTTTTGTGCTTGACGTCATCCACACACACATACAGCACCATAAACAGTACTGTGTAGATTAGCTTGACTTAGTGGCTACTATGGGCACAGCTACAAGGCTATTTTAGACAGAAATACAACCATTTAATTCTATTACTTGCACTAATATCTGTGTCACACCCAGTACACTGTATAATCAGCATGTTTTTTTAGTGAAGGAGCCCACTCAAGATGATGTATAATTTCTTGGCTTTGCGTCTCGTTCACCTTCTTTTCCAGGCTTTATATCTCATGAGATTTGAACATGTAGATATTTTTCTCTCAGCACCCCATTCTCATAGAAAATCAGCTGTCAATTGACTATGATACGGAAGAGTGACAGGCAAGGCAATACATTAACAATACATCTGCAGTATCTCCGGATGAATATAAATACATTGATGTCTTATTACTTTGTGCCACACAGATACAATTGTGTCATATGAAAAAAACGACTAGCTGCCTTGACTTCACCTAATATATGTCACACTATGTGTTTTAGCGAAAAAGAAGGAAGTATTTGCATAGTGAAGATAAGTTTAAATTGTTCTTTCCTTTTTTTATAAATGCACTACTCCCAGGGCACATCAGCAAACCTCACTTTAGGTTGAGAACAAAGCACCACTGACTGATTGCTTTTGACCGTTATCGTCGCCCATCTGATCACCTCCATCATCTCCTTTTGTCATGTGCAAAACAGCAAAATACATTTGGGAACACACCTGTCAGCACAGCTTCTGTGTGCAGCCTTTACTCAAACGGTCCCGCTGCTTCAAACATCAGACACACAGCCCCTTGCCTTGCAAAAGTTCTATTTTCTCCTTGAGTAGTTTGCCTCTCATCTTTCTACATGCCTTTAAGTGAGGCTTTCCTTCCAGAAACAGACAGTTATTTCAGAGCTGTGAACATTTTTCATACTTGGCTTGAATTTTTTTTTCTCCCTTCCAGTCATGGTGCATATTGCTATTCAACATGTTTTGATTTTCTCTGGCGATTTAAGCTCTGCATGTGTTGTTGTGAGCGATAGAACTGGAAAATGGAATTTGAAATCACCAAAGATGAGATTCATGGCAGATTTGGGATTAGTCTAATCAGCTTAAAAAATTTGTGTGTTTCGGCACTACTGGTATTTTAGTAATGAAAAGGTTGAAACCCCAGTTTTATTTATTTCTATGCTAAGTGAAGCCAAAGAAACCAGATCCTCATTGGTAAGCTTTGTAATAAGCTGGATCAAATCTACGACAAATAAAACAGTTGTTCATGCCTTTTTCTCAGAATATGTTTTTACTGTTTAATAAGCATGTTTTGCTTTATATAGAGTAAGACTTTTGTGTTTACACAGTAGCAGGTTTCACTCTGCAGAGCCTACTGCCTTGAATATCTATGTGTCAACAAAAGCACATAATGACAACATGCGGGCATTATTCAGTGCAGTACAAAATACACCAGCTAGAAGTAAAAAAGGCAGAGATTGGTTGTTGTGCACAAAATTTGTCGATTTTTTAATGATAAAAAAAGTTGAATGATAAAAGATCTTCCTGCCCTTAGAGGCACTGACATCACCGACAGGAAGGGTGAGCAAGGAAGGATTTCTATCTAGAATCTGATTGCTGATATGGCTGAATATTCCTGTTTCCTCCAATTGTAACTTTAAAATGCAATAACACAGAACCACTTCTTCCGAGCTGAATCTCCAGATCTTGTATCTAATCATTTCGTATTCAATCCTTATTACCCTAAACATGATAATGTCCAGATACAGGAAAATGTTGGATGGCTTAGAGAAGCCTGATTGAGATACTCTGGAAACCTTATGATAAATTCTGAAGGTGAGAACAGCAACAAAAAAACCCTGAAAGTTCTGTATAAGACCGGAGAAACAATGACACCAACACCTCAAACTGTCAGGAAAAAAAGTAGGAAAAGGCTTGCGGATATTTGAGGAAGAGCTAAGCAGTATAAAAATGCTCTCTGGGCAAGAAACCGACCTGCAAGGCTTGGCGGTGCAAGCAGTCGTGTTCAGAGTTTGAGTTTCAAGATCCCAAAACCAATTCACTCCAAGCACCCCATGTGGTGCTCAAGTCAAGAATCCACTTGATGTTCGCTGCTCTTATGAGGCCCTTCTTATGAAGTAGCATAATCATTATGTGAGCAAGATGTTTGCGGTAAATAACTTAGCAGGAGGGCTGGAAGCAATGGCAGAAAACCCAAAACTGGATCAGAAAACTCAACTAAAAAGGGGATTAAGAGCCCTGTGATATAAGAGTTTGTCATGAATGCTATCATCCAAGCTATGACTGTGACAGCAATACATGTTTCCTTTGAAAAGTACAATGCATGCACAATATGTTCTGATGTGATAATAAAAGCATAGTTTCCACATTATTTGCTTGCGCTACTTTACTATCAAAACACTTTACTTGATGATTGACATGCTGGCCTTATTTGTGTCGCCAGACAAACATTAAGTGAAGGAAAAAGAAAATGGCTCTTACTTCTTTGGTTCACTACTTTTCTACTCTGTCAAAACATTACATTCTTTTTTTCAGTGTTCTTTCTCTACTTTCCAACACTGCAACAACATTTCTGTGCTCTCTTCACTCTGTGCAACTTTACAGAAACAGTCATATGAAAGCCTCCTACACATTTGCAAAACCTTAGCTGCATCATGTGTCTCACAGAAAGCCCAACGGCTCTGCCCCAAAATCCGAGAAACAAAGGGATGGAGATGGAAAGAGAGAGAGGGAGGGAGAGAGAGAGGAGGAGGAGGATAACACAGATTATGCGCTGCTTTTTTTTACCCTAGGAGGCACTGTTGTTCTTACATTGAGGAAAGCTGGATAAGATGGCCAATGCCATCTTATCATACCAGCTCCTTTTGTGTGGAGACAGAGTAAACATAAGGTAATACAACCAGAGATATTACACATTACTCCGGACAAGCCTGACCCAAGAGCTTGAATGCAGTTCTAACCTGCATGCACCAAACTGCTCCTCTATGTATTTGTACATAAACACAAACTACTCATACCAGGGGACATACCTTATACTGTGTATAAATGTGTGTATGTATAAATGCAATGTTACATTTTTGGCCAAAAGCATAATTAAATGGCATTTATGTTACTCATGTGTTAAATCCAGTTTTAGGTCTCATTAACAGGTGCACAGAGCCAAAACCTCTAATTTGTTCTGCTGGTTTGCGGTATGAAACTGACAGGGGAAAGTCAAATGAAACCTGTGCCAGTGTGTCCTTTGTCCCCTTGAGCTCCTGTGCTACCACAGACTGACAGGTCTTAGTTCTTCCTGATCTGTGAGCATGAGCGACAGCCACTGATCCTGCCTGGAGTGGCGCCACTTACATCACTGGCAGTGCCCAGAATTTTTTCCCCCCAAAACAGAAAAGTCATTGAAGAGGTTAAACGTTTAGCTCAGTGCAGAGGGGAAACAGGCAGATCTGGTTGAGGACCTGAACAGGGGCAGGGGATGTGTCTTCTTCCAGGGCGAGGTGCCAGCTGGAATGGGGTTCACAATTACAGGCTTCTATCCATTTCATGTTAGCTGTGCTTGGTCTCAGCTTTGAGCCGGGAATGAGCCTCGAACAGCTGGTTCATAAGGCAAGACATTTTTCAGGGCACAAATAACATCTCATAATTGCAGGTTAGATGGTACACAGAGCCTGGCATGTAATTGGTTGCATTTATAAAGATTTGCAACATGTTATTTGGGAATAATCTGGCCTTCTTCACCTCATAGTATAAAGTGAAACAACACCCACACACAAGACAATGCACTAACCATCTCACCTTAAGTAAATGTGCTACCTTTAACTAGTGAGATAAAGGAGCCTGGAAAGAATAATAAATTAAGTCTAATAGATGCAGAACCACTTCATGTGTCAAGACAATTAAAATTACATTGTGTATAAACAGTTCAGACCAGCCCTTGCTGTAAAGCTGCTGTTCTGTGAGTATCTACACAGGATGTAGGGGCAGTATATATAGGCATAGACTGTATATACAATGGACAACTTGGTTCTGCCTTCTGTCGTTACACAAATTTGAGGCCAAAAAGCTCTCAGGATTTCTTGGATTTTCTCCACTTCCTGGAACCACCACTTGCACAGTAGCATTGTACACATTCGGCGGGAGAGTCACTGTGATGAAATAGCCTACAATAGCCTTGTAGCTGTGCCCATAGTAGCCACTAAGTCAAGCTAATTTACACAGTACTGTTTATGGTGCTGTATGTGTGTGTGGATGACGTCAAGCACAAAAATATCATTTCACGGTATTTGATTGATTTAAATCAGGATTGTTTTCTTTAAAACGCACCCCACATGCCAGGAACATGTGAAAAGTCACTGTCACAAATCACTGTACGAAAATGTGTTGGCAATTAGGGGAGACTGGGGTAAGTTGAGCCACCCCCTGTTGCTTGGAAATGGTAAAAGAAATTGATTGTGTGACCAAATTTTTAGGAAATGGGCATCAGTTCATGGAGTCTGTGAAGGTTAGAAGCACATGGGTGAAGAGGTTAGACATTTAATTCCAAAAAAACATTATATACTCTTCAAAGTGAATTTACTCCATCATAAGTTTCATTAGAATTGTGTTCAGACCAAAAAAGATAATTCTAAATTTGTTTTGGACATCAATTGTTGTACCTATGAGCTTCAACACGAGGTCAAAAACCTAGCATAAAAGTCCACCATTTTAGCTTAGAGGACTAATAAAGTCATTATAGTAGTTCTGTATGATGAGAGGATCAGAGTGTCAGTTCAGCTTGTTGAAATGTCTTACTTTTTCTTTTAAAAAATACATGACGCTCGGCTCGAACAGTGTATCCCCCAGTCGAGCTACGCAAGCTTCATACGCCCATAGGCTGTATCAAGTGCCAATCGTGGAAAACATGAACCCCCTAATAGCTTTGAAAATGGAGCTGTACAGAAAAAAGAGGACTTGAGCACAAACTAGTCTTAAGCTGCGTTCAGACCAAACGCGACCTCGGCGACCTGAGCAAGGACTCCCAATGCAAAGTTTATGTACAGCCACGACCTGACGCGACTTGGCAACCGCCGGCTGCCGGCGATGCAACGTTAGCAACCAGGTCGCGCATGGTCGCCGAGGTCGCGTCGCCCGTGGTTGCAGGACGCCAAGTCTCGTTGCTCCCTTTGGGACTTTCCGCGACGCTGTGCCACGACAGCCAATCAGGGCTCTGCTGACGTCAACAAACCGGCGAAGCAAGGAGGAGGAGAAGAAGAATCACAATGGAGGAGCAGCTTATGACTGCCGTGAGTTATCACCCGGTCCTGTGCGACAGGGGGTGCGCATTCTACTGGGACCGCACCTCCAAGGAGGAGGCATGGGCGAAAGTGGCCCATGATTTCGGGCTTTCTGGTAAGTTTGTTTATTTATTTCAGTGAGCAGACTATTTTCTGAAAACATAGCAAACTTCCCCTGCTTGCTAGGCTACATGTTTCAACGTGTGTGTGTGTGTGTGTGTGCCGCAAGCACTGGAAGGGGCTGCGGGATGTATATATGAGGGAGAAAAGGAGGGAGAAGGAAGGTGGGAGAAGCGGGTCAGCGGCGATCAGCCGCGTCCTGCGACCTCTGCGACTGCAGCTTTGGACCCGGTGTAAACACACCAGGACGCGACGGGAATACAGCGACCAACGCGACTAGGTCACTTCAGGTCGCGTTTGGTCTGAACGCGGCTTTACAATAGCTACATGTCAACATTGCAAGCAGGGGGGAGAAGATTTAATATTTTGTGTAATAAATTTCTAAAGTTTGTCCACAGCTCCATAGGGATTGCTGGAGGAGGCGGGATTCATGACCTATACTGCAGCCTGTCACCAGAGGGTGCTGTTCTCACGGTGGCTTCACCCAGCACAGCGTCTATTCTGTATACAGTCTATGGTTATAGGTCACTCGGGAGAGCTTAGATCTGCTCTGATCAGCTGAATTGAATAAACTAGAAGTGTATCTATTCAAGATGCATGAAATGTGAGACCATCGAAACACCTCATGGATGCAATGTTGGATAACTGTCTTGCCTCTCAGTCATTATCTTTTTTGAGAAAGCCAAACATGTCTTCTAGTCCTGTGTTAAAAGAGCTTATCAAATCTGTATCTGTCTCTACTGCATTTGAACTCCAAACTTGAGAGATAAACAGCACTTGCCTGTTAGAGCTGCACCCAAGAGATCTTTTGGACCATTTCCTCGAGCCCTTTACGGATACACCTGACTGTCACACCATCAAGTCGCTCTGGCACAGTTTCCCCTACATCTGCTTGTTGTTTTTTTTCTGCAGGGCCAGAAAACATCAGTGTTAGCCATGTTGATGTTCATGATGCCAAGTAAAGAGAATCATCTGGCGCACAAAAACAAATAGGAGGATTTTCTACATTGAAAATTAATGGATGGTCTTTATTTCTCTCAAAAGTAAAGGCGGGGAAATGTTGACAGAGCAAGACAGTGGACAAACATAGTTTCACAACTATCTCTGTTCATCTTTTGTCATTCAGACAGATATTGTGTTTGTTTTAAAGCTGTTAAGAGTCAGCTGACTGAAGATCAGTGGTGAATGCTCCTTTCAAAAAGGCCTCTTGAACTAAACTTTGTCATTATTCCCTCATGGGAATGAAAGGATGTAACACAACTACAAATTGATTGTTAATCAGAAAGTGACATATATTAAAACATGCCGATGATGTCCAACAACTTGGGTAGAAGTTAACGCAGCTGCTCAAAAGAATACAAAATACTGCGGTGAGTTCAAGACCTCAGTCAGGACACCGAAAGAGAGACAGAGAGATAGGAGTGACAGGAGAGGGAGGAAGAAAGGGGGGCTGTAGGCCTTGGTATTAAATAGACACTCAACAGACATCTCAACAGATGTGTGTATTAATAAGTTGGCGTGGTATTTGAATGCCTCATATCCACCATCTTGAAGAGATAAGTGATGCGAAGTTGTGATTAAGAAATAGAGCCAGGGTTGTATTCCCTAAATCCACTCTTCAGAATGTTCTCAGGTTTGTAATTTGCATGGGGAAGGATTCTTATTAACATACCATCTCACAGATTTTAAACTGCAGTGTGGTGGCCACTGTACTTACAAGTGTGTGAGCCCTTTCATACATTTTATCTGAGCAGACTGGTTAGGTAAGGTTTGGTATAGTGTGGCACAGAAACCTTCACCTTTGCTGGCATTTCAACAGTTAAGTGTACCCAGCCTTGATGTTTCAGGCAGAGAGCTGCATGACAGCTTGATTTTTGGCTCGCATGTTAAGATATGAATGTGTTCAGACTCTCAGTGAGGAGTGCATCTCACCATCTTTATTCCTCAAGGTGTTATCTATTCCAACAATACGCATTAAATTCTATGATGAGGGCTGTATTAGCTCTGTCTCAGCTCTGCTAGTGTCACAAGCATGAGAAATATGTAACTTCTTAGATACTTTTCAAAGTAAAAGCCTGATTTTTTTTTCTTCATCTATGAAAGACTCCCCTGGGTTTTGGAAAACTATTTATCTTAAAGTTGAACTACACAATGAGTTAAAAAAAAAAAAAAAAAAGTGTACTATTAACATTTTTTATTTTTTTACTATCTTTCTATATTTTTTCCCCCTCCCTCATTTACAAATATGTTGCAGCCTCTTTTGCCATATAAATAAGTATGGCTCAGTATTTCATTCATTAGTTATACTTATCAGGTAGGTAACAACATGGTATTGGCAAATAATACATAAAAGAAATATATTAAAGCATCACAAGAGGTCAAATCTATATTGACCTGGTCAGCTGGGCCAGAGGAAACAACATGCTTACAACAGGTTGTTTTGTCTTTCTGTGGTCCATTTCCTGCTAATTTAGAAATAATTCAGTGACCGTTGAGCCTCTACTGTATGTAAAAAAGCAACCTGATTTTACAGTTTCAGTTTTGGCAGGTTTACGTGCGTTTAATAATGTAAACTATGTTCCTTTATGCTGTGCTGTTACCCTCAGACTGAGTTAGCAGCAAAAGTCCTGTTAGGGTCCACATGGATCAGGGATTGACCATCGGATTGTTCTGTGTTACTAATAAATCCATAACCAGGAAGTATTTCTCATCTACACAAAGTGATACACAGTCGGGAGTTCGCATATGGTGTTTTATTTTGAAATTTCCCGAATGACATGCGTGGTTTCTGTGCTTTACATCTTGTCTAGAACAATCATCTGTGTAGATTGATGCGTTGGAAGCGTAGAGCAGCAAAAATAGACTTGGCGCGTATCTTTAGCAGAGCCTCGCTCAACAAGCTTGTAATACAGAGCTGTGACAGAGCTGATACGGGCCCGTGTGCGATTATGCGTTGATTACAATGGCAATCTATTTGCTGCGTAATACGCGTCGCTGACGGAAGGTGTTCAATAAGGATCCTGTATGCTTCAGCCTTTAGTCTGTAATTCTATCTAGCAGTACTTTAAAAACAGCCGCTGATTGGTTAATGTGTTCTGAGCATACAGCAGCCAAGTCTCCCAGTGTTTCTGCTGCTGCTTGCGCCCCTTCCTGCCATTTCACATATCACTGTGTAGTCCCCTGGGCCACCTGCATCTCCTCCAGTTTGAGCTGACTGGTATGCTGCTCAGCCACCTGAATCACCTGTTAACAGCAGACTTTGCAGTCATGTTGGGTGAGGAGCTCCTAATGTGTGTGTGTGTGTGTGAGAGAGAGAGAGAGAGAGAGAGAGAGAGAGAGAGAGAGAGAGAGAGAGAGTGTGTGTATGTGTGTGTGTGTGTGTGTGATATTCTGACAGCGTTTAAGATTGACTTAAGCATTCCCACCTGTGACAGCCAACTGGCAAACAGATCACTTACCACTTATTTGAGGAACCTGTGAGTAGAACAAACATGCTGGCTAAGCAGCACAGGAGCTGAAATCCAGAATTATAACCAATTCAGACAGTGCTTCCAACACTTATACTGTGAACCATATACTGTGGTTATTAATGATCACTTTTTTGCACATTAAAATACTGTCCTCATATGGCTTGAGAAATCATTCAGAGGAAGATTAGGACAGAAAGTAATCCTTCATGTTCACCAAGAATTTTGCTATGAATATCCTGAACAACAACTGTAAGAATATTTCTTTTATCTGGTAATGAAAAGGAGTCAAACATTTGCAGAGCTTTTAAAAAAATTCAACATTGCCAAAATCATCTCAAGACTGGTCTTCCTCATGTTTAAGTAAGATTGAAACAAATGTTGTCATAAGGCAATAAGTCAACCCAAACAACCACTGCTGCACACCTTCAGGCAGATTTCCGTGCAGGCAGTGACTGTAATGTGCTGTTATATGGCTGTGCAAGCACGGAAGAAAAAAACAAAAACAAACTAAAAATTGGATTAGGACCCAAATACAGACAGCCAAGGCACAGCTGAATAAAGAGGAACAAGAGGTATGAAACAAAGGAAAAGTCTGGGGGAAGGTGTACAGCTGTAGAGCCGTGGAATAGAGACAAAGACATACCTGAGGAGAAGTGAAAATGTGGACGAACATGGGAAGCAGAGCAAGGAAATAGCAGCTTATATGACAAATGTAGGGCGTCCGACAACCACGTGTAATCTCTCCATGAATAAACCAAAGATAATTACTCTTCAGCATATCTACGATTCCAGTAGCAGTCAGCAGTCGATCATTTAAAAACCAATTCATTTACTGCCTATTTTTCTCTCTCATTTTGTTTTACCTTGGAGGCATCCACATTTTAATCATCATTACCATGATCGTAATTACCATTCACATCATCATAATCCTAAAGACATTAAACAAGCTGCTGCTAATTCCTCATGACAAAGAGCTCGGGCACATTCACTGACTGCACTCTGTTGCTTTAATTTGCCTTCCATCCCAAAATGCTTGCTCAAGTCCCCAAAAGAGCTGGCATGGAAAGCTGACAGATCTTTTTTTTTTTTTTTTTTTTTAAGATTCAGATGCAATAAAAAAGTACAATAATTAAATCAGCCATCATTCTGACAGTGTAATTTAAAGAAAATGTATGAAAGAGAACCTTACTATTACAAGTTTAGTGCCAAGTCAGCATAAATGTCAATGCATTTGATTAATTCCTCATAATTTGAATTTGTAAAATTAGTCTGTGTTCAATTATTATTATTTTTTAAATTATTTATTTTATTAATATAGACTGATAAATGATAAATAAAAGTGTCACAGACAGAGACAAAAGCTGAGAGGAGATGCAGAGCAAATATCTAAGTTCAATATTTATTTACAAAACATTAGATTATGAAGTGTGGACATCAGTAGATCATCGGTGTGATGTGTGCATGCATGAGTGAGGGTGATGGTGCGATGTTGGTTGTAAAAGAAAATGGCAAAAAGGAGCGTGGTGGGGGAGCAGCCTGCCAAATTAACTCAGCCAAAGTTGAATGCCTTCAGTCTGCTTTTATAGATTGAGACAAACTGGGCCCATGTGTGGTCCCTCCAGGACGACCCACCAGCACCTGAAACAGAGTAGACACTGCCAGCAAAACAAGTAGATGGGGTCGTCACACAAGTTTGACCCAAGTGCATTGTATAATGGTGTTTATGGATTTAGCTAATGGGCTGTTGAACAGCAGCAATAAGTGGTATAGAGATTTAGAGTTTTGTAAGATTCATTCATTCTCTGAGTCACAGCCAACAGATAGATTACACAAACTCCAAATTTTTACTTTTTGCCCCAATTTTTCCCTTTAGGTAAAAGTCAAACACTAAAAATTACAAAGTTATGGGGAAAATAGTTGAACCGCTTTTGCCCACTCATATCTCTTTTTCTTGTTCTGTGGACGAAGTAGTGTTTTTTTGCAGATACACAACCCTTCAGACCAGCCTTTCTCAAACGTAATTTCACGGTTGTCATAGATATGGGTTTCGACCTTGTCATGTTGATTTCCTCCCTTATTTTTGCCGATCTCTCTCTTACTGGTGACAACTATGGGCTCTATTTTCGTTCGCGCCGGTGAGGCGGCGGAGGGCGGCGAGCCCCGCGCAGTTGTATTTTCGTCTGGTGGAGCCCGGCGTAAGGCGAGTTTGGTATTTTCGTGGACTGAGTCGCACGGAGGCGAGCCGAGATCCGCCAAGCTGGGCGTGGTGGCGTGGCAGGGGGAGGTGTTGACAGAATCAGCTGGCGCAGTGACATTTTTGTGCTCGCCACCGGCGTGTAACGTGCGCTGAAAGCTCGCCGATTCAAACCTGGTCAGCTTTCAGCGCAAGGCGGAACGCAGCTGGTCTAGTAGTATTTTGGTAGACCGGCGGCGTATCGACATACGTCACTGATGCCTCACCGGCAGGTTTCCACAGTGTCAGGCACATTTCAGTGCAATAAATAATCATCAACAACTATTAATCTGAGTCAGCACATACATTTAGATCTATATCGATATATTCTGATCTATATCTGATCTGATGAGCGCGTTTGGCACGCGTTTGGCACGCGTTTGGGCACACAACCTGACCGAATCAATACAGCTGAAACTGCATCAAATTAAATTAAATATCTAGTAAATAAACACACATGCTGAAGTTAACAAGATATGTAATGTGTCTCCCTCCTTTTCTTTCTTCCTCTTATTTCTCGCACAGCTCGACCTGGACACGTCTCCGTGTCCTCTGTCCGTCTTGCTTGCTGCTGCGGCTGAACAGATGATTTGTTTCAGTGCTCAGATGCGTGCTCTACTTTAAGCCAACATACAGATATTATAATATTCAGTTTTGTGGGCCAAATTTATTTTATATGCCAACATCTATGAAAGAAAGAGCCAGGCCACGGAGCGCGATGCGTCATTTACGCACAGATGGTTCCGATTTTAATGCCATTTTTGGAGTTTATGTTGTGATCTGTGCGCTCAACCCACCTTTGCCACGTGAGGTTTGAATATATGCAACTTTATGTGAGTGTCTTTATTTGTGGAAAAGGGTGTTTGTCTTACCAGTGGGTCCAACATTACACACACCAAATCCATCTGTGCTCAGATGAGAGAGTGTGGAGGACACTTGTTGAGGAGCTGCCCTCTGTCGCCATCGTGTGGCATAACTGTCTTCAGACATCTCTTGATCTCTTCGACAACTTCATGAAAATAGTAATACGCCTCGACGGTGGCGGATTTAAAGGCAAGGAGAGGAGCTTATGTGATTGGTGAAAACAGGTCTCGGCTGTGTTCAATCTACTACACGCCCTCTCTCCTCCCCGTCTACGACTTATGCTGCTGGGAGGAGCTGAGTTAGGGAGGGGGGATACTTACGCCGGGCTGCGCGGCTCACCAAAATACCAAAATGTGCTTGGGAACGCCTTGTCAGCGCGGAGGATCTGATTGACGCTGCGCTTGCGGCAGATCTCCGGCGAGGCACCAAAATAGAGCCCCTTATGTTTATCCTCTGCTTTTGTAGTAACTCTCTTTTGTCCAGGCCTTTTCCTATCATCATAACTTCCAGGTTCCTCTAGTCTCTTCAGAGTGTAGTGGACTCCTTCGTTAAACACCTTTAGGCCTTTTGCAATTTCTCTTTCTGTGTATCCTTCTTTCCTCAATGTACAAATCTGTACTTTTGTTTCTTTACTCAGTTGCTTCTTTCTAGCCATTTTTGCAGTAGTTTGAACGCAGTTGAGATTTATTAGGGTTTTTGTATGCAGACTCTCAAAAGCCAAAAAGTTGAAGTGAATAATCCAACTGTGATTTGTTTATTTGCTTTTGCACTTAAGTTGTGACTCTTGCAAATGTTTTCGATCCTGCAACTAAGCCCTTATTATCTTTTGCTGACATATATTTAGCAATAGTCTGTTAACATCAATGTATATCTAAAGGTAAATGGAGTAAAATGGTGCATTTCCATGAAAGCAACATCTGATCATGGAGTGAATACATCCCAAAATACATAAAACTCATGCTGGATTTAAAAAAAAAAAATCATTGTGAACAAAAACTTTAAGTTACTCCCAACTGTTCAGCCTGTAATGGCCTTGCTTCCAAACTTTTGGCCTGTAGTGTATATACTAACATTCATGTATATATATATATATATATGAATGTTAGTGTTTTATTAAAAATGCTTTGATGACTACACAGACGTTGTGTCACTAGACTGGATTTGAGCTGTCCTGAGATGACGTGTCTGTGGAGAAGCATTCAGTTTTCTTTAAAGTGATCAAAAAATTTATTGATCAAAAAATAAATAAATAAACTCTTTGAAAGAAATCAAACATATACAATAATAATGTAAGAATGGAGATATTCTTTTCATAAAAATGGCTTTGCAGTGTAGCTAGTTGAACTGCACACATACACAGGAAGCCAGTTTAACACAATACCACCCTGGACAAAAAAAAAAAAAAAAAAAGAACAACATGACTGAGATAAATGGAAGGTCTTTTGTATGAGCAATGTTGTTGTGAAACATGCAATCATGCCCACTGTCACCCAGCAGAAAAAGTGCTATGAGGTCTGAAGCTGGTGCCTTTGGGAATGCTGAAGAGCCATCACTCCAAACTAAATGTGGCAGCTCAGATAGCTGTTGATTTATGGTGCCCCTCTTGCCCTCTGTACTCCTATTCGTCTTCACCATTGGGCTCCATTTGCAAAGTTTGTACTCGAGATGATGTGCCAACCTCCCATAATGTTCCTCTTACTGATCAAGCGCATAGAGAGCCGAGGATTGCTGCAACAGTAGCTAACACTGTTGATGATTTGATGTCTGAATTGTCATTAAAACAGAACTTTCAATTTTATGATTCATGTGGGGCTGTATAACCACGGGCCAGTCAGGTTGCCCACTGTCCACCAAAAGCACCCTGTGGACACATGAGCATCAGAACTTGACAATAATGGTAGTCGAGGGCAACATGGCAGTATTGACTTGTTTCCAGTTTCATCAGATCTCAATCCAATCAAACACCTGTAGGGTGTCTTGGACGTGGACTTATGGAGGCTCTACTTCAGAATTTATAGAACCTAGAGGATCTAATAATGTGTTGGTGCCAGAGATCAGGTTAGAATTTTGGGAGGTTTTAAGGCAGAAGGTCATAATAATATGTCTGATTAATGTGTGTGTCGTGTCCAATAATTCTGTCTATTTTCAGTACATCTTTTAGGCTCGCAGAAGGGGATAAACACTACATCCACAAATGATCACTGAGCACTCATCAGCTTACCACCCACTTGTGCTGGGCAGATATTAAACAAACAAAACCTTTCTCTGTTCTGAAGCCAGCAGCTGAACTGCCTGGTGTTTTATTAGGGTAGACAGACAAGGCAGAGTTAGTTTGAAAGGATGGACATCTGGGAGTTGAAGTTTGCAGCAAGCAATTACACTGCAGCAGTTTTTCTAACTGTGTTGTGCTTGCTTTTCACGGATTTTCCTTTAAGACAGCAAGACGTTAGTGAGCACAGTTTGATAATTTGGGATACAGTATGTGTTGCTCCATTGGAGATGTGCCTTAATCATGCATGGGAGTTGTTGAAGGTCATGGCCGGAAGGTGGTTCGACTACCCCTATGGCTTGTAGAACAAAACTTTCATTAAATATACAAACAAAATGATTTAAGTCCCTATAAGTCCAAACAGCATACTAATATTAATGCATGTAAAAAACTGAATAATTTCACACTAAATATAATTCAAAACCTGAACTTTGAGTTCAAAAACTTAAAACAACTGCAAGGCAAATACAGGGAGCAGATTGTGCCTTGAACAAATCCTGTTTCATCTTATTTTTTTCTCATGTAGCTACCTCAAACAGGACACTGCATATGTAATTACACAGATTTCGAACCACAATCAGTTTCGTCTTTGTGCAACTTGAGATTTCATTCAGGTCGAATACAAGGTTTCCAATCTTATACCTATGCTCTACAAACTCAATTATTTCTCCTGTTTTCAGACAGAAGGCAAAAACAAGGTGGTGGTCTGTTGAGAAGAGTGTGGTGAGGATGTTACAAGTAGAGACTGTAGTATATATTTGTAATTTACTCAGCAACGACACCCTGTTATTTTGAGTTCAATACGAACTTTACTATATCACCGAACATCTGCTGCCATCCATCAATCACTAAGTTTAAAGTTAGTGAAGTGTATATGGTAAAATACAGTAATAGGAAGCCATGCATGCTTTTTCAACTCACTGAAGGACTGTCAAGTGCGGTCCCACCCTGTGAGCTAAGAAAGACACCCCTAATCCCCGTTTTACAGTGGTAGTACTGTCAAAAGAGATTACAGGAAAGAAGAAACAGTAGTGCTATTTTTGCTTAAAACAAATAATTAATGGTGTGAAACTGGGTGTTCCTCAAGGTTTTAGATTAGCAGTTGTGGGAGTTCTGTCGTGGCACTAGTATAAAATCTCTTCAACGCCAAGAATATCTGCCTCAGCCCACCTCATCGTTTTACAAGTGATTTGTGCTTCCAGCAAAGCATTGTCAGCCAAACAAAACATTGCATGTTGGAATACCAAAGACAGATCAAAAGAGCACCCTTGGATGTGTTTTGCTGAGGAGTAGTCCTTGATGGTTTTTCCAAAATTGAAGAGCCTGAAACCCAACATGTCTTTTGTGATACTTTAAACTACCCATTTAATCATTGTTGGTTTTCAATCAACAAGAGAAGCAAACCCAAGAAGTTACTGCCAGAAGCAAAATAAAAAAAGTAGCCTGTTAAGTTCGCTGTTACTTTTGAACTCAAGTAAAAAACTGATGCACTTTGTTCCTCATACAAACAAAACTGCTTTATGGAGGAGGGAAGATGGGATGATTGGAGGGTCTCATTACTGAAAGAGGCCCTGAAAGATATTAGAACAAAACTTTTTTAGACCTTGTGCCTTTCGTAAGAGGTGCAAAACAGAAAACATTGTACAATTATTCTTTTGCTGTTTTTATCAATTTCACAACTTTACAATGCAAAGAAATTTCATGTTTTATCTTTTACATTAAAAGCATATTAACTAAAAAACGAATAAAGCAGCGTTAACTTGTGACAATGGAGCTTAATGAAGAATAACTGTGTAAGTGGGTCTCTCTAAAACTTTAACATAAGATAATACGCTGTATAACCTTTACACAAAACTGGTTGTTTCTTTTTATTTTAATATTTAACACAGCTTGCAGTAAATATACATAGGCACTTAAAAATGTTGACATTACTGATATATATTTCAAAAGTCAGCTGATTTTACACTATGATGCATCATTTAAAGGCACTATAAGGATCTATCTATCTATCTATCTATCTATCTATCTATCTATCTATCTATCTATCTATCTATCTATCTATCTATCTATCTATCTATCTATCCATCCATCCATCCAGCCATCCATCCATCCATCCATCCATCCATCCATCTACAACATTTACCCTGTTTTGGGTAAGTTTTGTTTCTGTCTCAGGAGAGGGGAGAAACCATAGACTTTGTATGGACAACTTGGTTCTGCCTTCCCCCAGCATATGGATTTGAAGCCAATAAGCACTCGGTATTTACAGTTTTTTTTCTCCACTTCCTAAAACCAACATTGCGCAGTAGCATTGTACGCATTCGGCGGGAGAGTCACCGAGAGTCGCTGTGATGACGCTCAGCTCGAACATCGTAACTACATGTTAATATACACAACAGTAACTATATGTTAATATTGCAAGCGTGTAATACATTTCTAATGTTTGTCCACAACTCCATAGGGATGGCTGGAGGAGGTCGGATTTATGACCCATACTGCAGCCCGTCACAAGAGGGTGCTGTTCTTGTGGTGGCTTCACCCAGCGAGGAGGCAGACGGCATCCATTCTATCTACAGCCTATTGGAGAAACCTATTCTAGCTTCTTCAGGTGTGAGGCAGGCTCTATCAGACAGTTACAAAAGGAAACTTGGACTTGGATCCAAAGACAACAGTAAACCTCTGTTTTCTCCATCCTGTTCCATCTGATCACACCATGACTTGTATTTAAATGAATTTGCAGTGTTCAACAAAGACCTCAAGTAAAGGGCATGCCATTCA